CCTCGGCAGGAGGGCGGGTGAGGACAGGCGGAGGGGGGGGAGGAGGGAAGGGGAAAGGGGGGCCAGTGCGGGTGCCTTTGAGACACTTGTAGGGGCCGCGGAGGAAGTGCTCAATCCAGGACGACAGGTTTAGTTGACAGTGCCTGGAGGGTCGGTGGGGGGAGGGGGCGCTTGCTTCCTGCCTGGGCGCGGGGGGGCCCGGGCAGCAGGTAACAGGGACTGGCAAGAGGAGGTGGGGGGGGGGGGGGAGCCGCGAGGGATGTTGGTATGCTAGGGAGAAGGCAGATGGACTTACGGGTATTAGTACCGGCAATAATGGAGAAGCAGGTATACAGGTTCACAGGTATACTAGGACAGGTACGCAAGAACACACACACAGAAGTGCAGGCACGCTTTTGCACACGCTTATATGGCGATTCACTTTACATTTCCTTCGGGTATTAATTATTTTGAACAATCGAAATTATCCTCCAATATTTGAACAGGCGAGCAATTGTTTTGGTTGAACTCAAGGCAAACCGAAATATTTTTTATTGATTAAATAGTGATTTTTTTATTCATATTTATTTTTAAATCCACGCTTAAAGAAATTTCTAAACGCACTTGATATATTTAATCACAAGTACAGACAAAGACGAAAGCGACGGCCGCCATTGCGCCGGTCAGGAACTTCCTAAAGATGGCTTCGATAATTTCCTGCTGGAAATTACCGGTAGCAGGGCGGGGTCACCTCACGAGGGGGAGGAGCCTCGCCCTTCACCTGTGACGCCTTGGAAGTTGCCAATTTACCCAATAAACCTTCAATAAATCCCCGTCAAAACGCCCCATAAGCGCCACTGCGGAAAGACACAGCCGATAGAGCACCGGACATCCCGTACAGATTGAATGCCGTTCGGAGATAGCGCGCGGGCTATATTTAGTCGTTTTCACAAGGATATTTTCTCTTTTTTAGTCTTTCCCCTTCTTTATTGTTTTTCTTCTTTCTTTCTTTCTTCTTCTCCCATTTTTCTTCTTTTATCTTTTTCTTCTTTCTTTCTTCATCTCCCATTTTCTTCCTTTATCTTTTTCTTCTTTTTTTCTTCTTTCTTCTTCTTCCCCCATTTTTCTTCTACCTTTTTTCTTCCTTTTTTTATTGAAACTGGGAATCGCTCTTAATAACATCGATGACGGCCATAGACTTTAGGGAGTAACACTTTCCTATATATCATTCGCCCCATATGTAGTTGATGACCCCGACGAACACCTTAATTAACAGAGTAGCCTCATTACACAAGATTAGTGGCCGTCCTTACTTCAAACTTATCCCGTAATTATAAACTTTTGTTGCCCTGTTACAATGTACGGTGAATGTGCTGCGTCAGAGAAGTACACATCATTCACTTCCCCCCCTCATCCCTATTTTTTTTTATATAAGTATTTTGGATCTATTGCGTTTTATTATATTGCATTATTTGGTTGCAATTTTATTGTCTTTATGTTCTTATTAGTAGTAACAGTACCAACGATTCTATTTTATCATCAGCATTATCATTATAAGCATTTTTTTCATTAACATCATAGACAGAAAGAAAATCATATCACGAACTAAATTTCTCAAAAAAAAAAAAAAAAGCACTTACACATCCGCATTCCTCCATTTCTTACCCAATTAATGGTAAGAAATGCAAGTGTTGTCTCTGAAAACCGGTCAATAGTTGGAAGAAGGACGGTAGTATTTTACGCCCGTGACGGAGAGTGAGAGCCAAATGACCCAAGTTGCAAGAGGGAAGAGGAGATTGCAAGGTATATTAAGATTGAATGCAAGGAAAATGGGAGGAGATATTTGTGTTTGGATGTTTCAACGGATAAGGAAATGGAGGGGCAGAGTAATGCATAGGAGATTAGACCTCGGGCTTGTCGACTTTTCTTGAAGAATGCAAATGGAAAGAAGGACATAGCAGAGGCGCAAAAGACTTTTTGTCTATTTTTATCTTCTTTTTCTCTCTTCTTCCGTTCGCCTCACTATTTTTTCGTTTTCTCCTTTCCTTTCTTTTCATTTTCTTCGTTTTTCGTTCGTTGCCTTTCTTTTCGCTTTTTTCTTCTCTCTTTACTTCCGCCCACCTCTACTCTTCCTCCTTTTACACCTCTCTCTCTCTCTCTCTCTCTCTCTCTCTCTCTCTCTCTCTCTCTCTCTCTCTCTCTCTCTCTCTCTCTCTCTCTCTCTCTCTCTCTCTCTCTCTCTTTCTCTTCTCTCTCTCTCTCTCTCTCTCTCTCTCTCTCTCTCTCTCTCTCTCTCTCTCTCTCTCTCTCTCTCTTCTCTCTCTCTCTCTCTCTCTCTCTCTCTCTCTCTCTCTCTCTCTCTCTCTCTCTCTCTCTCTCTCTCTCTCTCTCTGACATATTTATTTTTTTCGTATATTTTGCCTTCAGGTTTCATCTTAATCAACCCAATGGCCGCTTTATCTCTCTTCACTCTCTTCTCTATATCCTCTTCTCCCCTTTCTTCACACCCACCATCCTCCATGTCTTTCCCTTCTGTCTTTCCTCCCTCCTCTACTTCCAAACCTCTCCTGCCCCTTCCCCCTGTCTATTTCCCTCCTCCTCCTCCCTCCTCCTACTCTTCCTCCTCCTCCTTCCCACTCTCTTCCTCCCTCCCTCCGCCTTCGCCCTCCCTCCCCCTCCTCCTCCTCCTCGAGTTCCTCCGCTCTTCCTTGCTCTTTCCAAAAGTGCCTCACTTCCACTTTGTTCTTCTCGAAAATAATTATTCCCTTGATAACTCCCTTCACTTATTTTGCCTTCCTCGAAATTAGCATACACAGGTGAATAATAATTGCCAGATGAAAACTTGATTCCAAATAAATTAAAAACAACAATAGCGATGGCGGAAGGGTGTTTCCCGCCTCGGTTATCGTGGTATTTTGATCCCTACGGCGTGGGCGGCTCCTCCGGGGATGCCATCGCAGCTGTTTCATCTCATTCCGTTGATTAAAACTCAGGTGAGAGGACGTGTCTCTGGGATTCGCCCGTTTTCCATTAACTTCCGCGCGCTCCGCTCCCTTCGGTCGGGGCGGAGGGCCGCTTCGCTCGCCTCGCTTGTTGCGCCCTTCGGAACGAGGACGAGGCTCTTGCCGCTTTTTTCGCTGTCGGCGCAGAAGGAACGCGGCGGCGAGTGCGCAGGCCGACGCGCGGCGCCGCAGGACCGAAACTAACGCTAATCTGCGAGTTGAAGTAATCCCGCCTCCCAGTCTATCAAACGCTGAACTCGTCAAAATGTGAGCGAAAGTTTGCGCGCCGGCAGGCAGGCGGCGGGAGGGGGGAAGTGGCCATAACGTCGGCATTGCATCATCACTGTCGACGTTGTTATGCTGGTAATCGCGTTTAATCGGCTTTCTTCTGCAGGCGCGATCGTCCTCAGCGCCGCGTGTCGCCAGGTAGGACTACGAGGACTACGGAACATGTCCCAAGTCCTAGTATTCTTGCAGGATGGCGCCGGAGCGAAAGAGGGAGAAAGGAAGGAAGGGCGAGAGCGGGAGGAGGAAGGGACGGGAGGGCGTTTGAAGGCTTGGGTGGGCTGCTGGTGCTCTAGGACGGTCCTTGGGCTCGCGCCTCTCTCTCTTGTCTGTCTGTCTTCCTTTTGGGTATTTTGTTGTTTGGGATTTTCAGTTGTCAGTAGAAATGCGCTTGTGCTTGCATGGGTTGATTATGAAGACGCACCGACGCTTTTGCCTTCCTGCTAGCGACAATTTTAACACCGTTAGTCTGAGGCCACCCACGCCGGCTGTTGGCCCGGGCGATAACGTCCTGGCAGTAGTTACCCCAATCACAATAACAAGAGAATCCTGCCAGTTTCCCCGGGCCTCCAGTGCGCCTTCGACAATCCCCCACTCTTTTCCCCGTTATCTCCCTCGCCTGTGTCCGAAAAATAGCAGCGTCTCTAAATGCTATCTCGCGCCGCCTCGCCTCTTTAATGCTAGGCTTAAGCGACTCCCCCCGGCGACAAGGTAGAGCCAGATATTGCCAAGGTAGAGGTAGATATTGCCACGGCTAACGGCAGCCTTGTAGTGTCGCGAACAGGGCCGTTTAGCGTGAATTGTCACCTCGCACTTCAGCCTCGAGTGTCACTTGACGCCACTAGCGAAAGGGGTAGAGGGATAAGGGGAAGGAGGAGGACGAGAGGGGAGACAAGGGGAAAGCCGGCTGTAAAGGGGAGAACTAATTCTTACCTTCCAAGGGGATTGTTGTCGCTGTCTCTAGCTGCCTCGCGTGCTAGATCAGGCTCCGACTAGACTATGCCATTGCTGCGAGGGCGCGGGGATGCTGCAGTGGCGGCGGCCTGGCCTTTGGCACTTCATAATTCAACGCGCGCACACACACACACACACACACACCTCATTTCATTAAGTATATATGTACATCCAAGTCATACTGTACATACATGCATACAATAATCTAGTCAGTCACGCACACATATATATAACATGTGTGCATTTAAGGTGTGTTATCTCCTTTATCATCTGCGTTTATTTTATTTTCCTGTATGAGATAATGACGCTCTGTTCTAATTTAATGCACAGAGGACAATCCCCACACGAAAAAACAGCAAGCAAGGTCAGCGTGCGATGACTGTATCATCATATTAGTCTGTAAACTGATCGCTTCCCCTCCCCCTCTCCGCCCCTCTCCCTCCCCCAGCCCGAGTGACAGGTGATCCTACATACCTTGCTCCCCCTTCCCCCTCACCATCCCCTCCTTCTCCGTGGCTGACAGCTGTCCTCGCCGCCAGCTGGTGTTGTATGTGAACTCGGATGCCTCTACACCTCTGGTATGAGCGGACTTCGCCCAGAACACACAGACCTCAGAACAGCAGTGTGGCGGGACGACCCTTGCCTTACATCACAGCCCAGTGACATCACACCACCCTCCCGACGACACCAGATCACACCACACCACCACAGTCCCACCACAGCTCCGTCAGTGAAGCCTCCCGTCATAAAACCGTGCAAGAAAGTAATAACCACAGCTGC